GTAGGGACGATGTCGAAAGACGCTCCTTGCGTGGATGAGGAGGGTGCCAGCAGCCCTGATGGGCCCAGTAAGAGGCTGGAAACCTTCTTCATGCCTCAAGAGGACCTTTGGACATTGTCAAAAGTAGGCATGGTTAGCGCAGTGGCTGATGAGAGCAAGAACGCCATGCTTCAGCAGTGCAGCCCTATTATCGAGGTGATTTGCGAACATCGCAGAAAAAGGAAGAAGCGGAGGCGTTCGTCACTGCGCAAGCCTAGGTCGGGCCCCACTCCGTCCCAACAAAGAAAGGGTAGGCCACTAATCCGTTTAAGGAAACGTCAATGGTGGCGTTCAGGAAGACCGAAGCGGCGAGCCAGATTTGGAGGGGGAAAAGAAGGTGCGTCACCCCAAGGAAAGGCGCGGTTCAGTTCGACGACTTCAGGAAAGCGGCCTTGCCCGAAGGGTCAAAGTCGAAAGGACAGAGTGGCTAAATACCGCGCAGGGGTGAATACAAAGAGAAAATGGCACAGGCTCCCTCCGAGCTACTGGCGTCACTTTCAAATTCCTGAGGGGAACAGGCCAAAGTGGAAAATGAGGCGTGACGGCAGTGCACTGCTTAGAGTTTGTGCATTTAGTAGCCTCAGGCCTGCTGGAAAATAGCCGGGACCGCGACCCCATCGTGTACGATTAAAGGAACCAAGAGAAAAGGGGGTGGTCAGATTGAGTAACACATGCTTATTTCGTATGGTTACTTAGTTTTACTTTGTAGGTGTAATTTCAGTACTTTTAATTTTGTAAGTAACGTAATGCGGTGTAAATTTTTCAGAAGGGAAACCGCCGAACCGAAGGCTGAAAGTTAACATCGATTTGCTTTAATCATTAGGGCTAATATGTACCGAAGGTAAAAACTGGAAAATTGTTATTTTTCTAGTATTTTCAAAGGCTGAGAGTAATTTTGTATGCCTTCACTGTCATGTGGATTTGTCGTGAATTAGCATTTGGAGAAGAAGTTACCATAGGCCGAATAATTTCATAAATTGATTAAGTTTGGCGCGACACGGTAGAGTTGTCGTTACGCACTAGTAGTATTGAGAACATTCTAGTGCACTGTTTTAGCATAAAACCTAAGCCATTGTTGGGAGGTGCTTTAAGGACTATTGCACCTAGGTTTACTTTTGTGTTGTACACGGTGTGTTACAACGTAACGTTTGAATGAATTTAGACAAACTGTAAACGATTAAGCTTTTGGTTAGTAGTGCCATGAATTTTGCAGCGCCGTAAGAATGAGAATAATTGAAAGCGCTCAGAAGAACTCAGTGTTTTTTAATCAAAGGTGTTAGCAAAGGCAGGTAACTAACCAAACTAACCTGCTAGAAGGCAGTGTTTGTCACTTTTTGTTGTTGTCTTCTTTGAAGAATGATTGATCAAGAGATCATATAAACGGATGATTAAGCTTTCCCTAAACATCAAGGTAGACCGTTAGGTCACAACGTAGGTTAAGCTTTCGGGAGGCTGGTGAACTTTATGTCTCAGTGGTAGACAATTACGGGCGGCCGTAAACAAAGACGGACGTTCGGACAAAATTAGCGCTCACTGAATCCGAGTTCCTGACTGATGCTCTCAGCAGGACAGGGCCGTGTAAGTAGTCAGCGACAAAAAGAAAGAGTCTGCCGTTATATGTCTCGACGACAGTGGCAACGAGTATGATGCGTTCTACTTGAGCCAGAGTTTGGGCTCTCGTGAGATAACGTACTGCGCTTCAGGAAAGGAGTGCGCCTGCATTGTGTAGAGCATTCATCAGTGGCAGTGTTATCTCAGGGGAGGGCTAAATTTAAAGTAGATACAGGCCATTGTCCCCTTGGCTACAAACCATGACATCGAGGAACAGTCGCCTTGTGAGGCGGAGCTTGATTCTTCGAAAATATCATTTTGACATTAGGTAAAAAAAGGGGCAATTTGAATGGAAACGCTGACGCGCTCAGCCGCTCTTTCTAAGCCATTCTGGGGTGCTCTTGATGTATCGAAATTGATATTTTAGTTTTTTCGTGCATCTTATGTAAATTTGTAAGGTAGCACGTCTGGTTTTTCGGCTCAAGTGAGTCCTGAGAGTTCTGAGAGTGAGCTTTTGTTAAAGCTAGTAATTAAAATTGGTTTGTCATCCCTCTTTTGGCTTGGTTTGTTCGAAGGGGGCCGAGTGCTTGCTTGTGCATGTGGTCCAGTTGCAGAAACGGTGTCGAAGATTCGGCCTTTACTCAGACCATGCCACAAGCGAAGGCGAGTTCTTGGGATTCGACTACGGACCCTTTCGTCGTCCCTGCGAGCAGCAGTGTTGACCGCTGCCCTCCGTGACTCATCTGGCGAGGGGGAAGCTGTTATGACCGGCGTCAGCAGGCGCCATGCTGTCGCTGAGAAGCGTAGCCGGGCCGCGTTCCCACGCCTGGAACTCCAGTTTTCTCGGAACCAGCGTCCAGAGATGACGGGGGAGCGGCGCTCTTTTAATCCCCAAACAAGTAGCCGACTCGCCGAATGTCTATGCTCGCCAGCTATTGTCCCTGCTAGCCGGCGGATGAGACGTCCTGTCGCCACGAAGCTGTAAGCCGTTCCGGAGGGGACAACAAAGAGCGTATTCCTTTGAAGAAACGGCGACCGCCGCCACAAAGTGCCCTGCTAATTGAGCGGACAGATTGGCGGACCGTTTGATGTCTGCTGTCCGAAGCTTGGAACCCCTCGACCAGCGACATACACGACGAGCAAGAGACTCTCTGGCGCCACCTTTAAGTGCAGTGATCTTGACTCGAAATTGGCTGTTCACGTGCGCCGTGCCTGCTCGTACCCCTCACCTGTTGTGTGTATGTGATTGGTGTTCGACTGAAGAAGGAGGAGCCCGAGAGGGCTTATAACGGCGCCGCAGAGTGCAGGACGTCGCTCTGGACCAAGGAAAGGTTCAACCACCACGTTCGTAGTTTGTGATGGCTCTGGACCAAGTAAAGGTTTAACCACCACGCTCGTGGTTTGTGAACTCTTAACCTCATGCTGTAAATATTTGTAAATAGTGCCATAAACCTTGTTTGTTTTTTCGTATCCCCAACTTGTAAGCGCTCGTTTCCTCAATCCGAAGCTACACCACGCTACCACAGCACCCCGGGATCACAACAACTGGTGATCGGAGGTGGGATCACGACAACGGTATGTTTCAATCAACAGGAGTTTCGTTTACTGAGATGAATAGGGGTGCAGAATACAAGCCCGAAACCAAACACACTCGAGGCAGCTGTTCCATTTAAACAGCAGTTCCATTTAACAGATTTCCATTTACTGAGAGTCTACTGTATATATGTTGATCCTTGCTTTAACTTATCTGCAACTCTGACAAGCTGATATTGATCAGTCACTCTTTCCTGTGCATGTACGATGTCCACCACCTGTTTTAATATGCATATATCGTAATACACTGTTCTGTAAGTCTCGCTTATGTTCCAGACAAGCAACTAAATTGCACAGAGAATCAAGAGCTGAGGTTCAAGAAAGTGTCTGCGCGCACTGATCATTTCCGAACCAGACACAGTGACGATCTTATTGACGAAAAACGTTTATGTTGGTACATTATTTTTCTTCATTCAGGTAACTGATCAATTCGATTAAAGTTAGTGCTACCCTGCCCCCGGAATTTTCAGTGCTTCCTCGATGCCTGACCACTGAACGAAGCATTGTGAAGTCATCGCAAAACGAAAATAAATTATCAGCAACTAACACCTGAAGGTCTGCGATATGTGAATGGTTTCGTTTTCGTGCCCAACGAAACATTGCGGATTGAGCGTACAGGATGGTCAACGGATGGCGCTGGACATTTTGATTATCCCCTATATAAAAGTACTAGAAGTTTCAAAATACAAGGATAGAGATAGTGCTAGTGCTGAGTTTTTTGCGTCATACTTTAACAAGGGGTTAGAGCTATTCATTAAGATGAAGATCATTAAGATGAAGACCTGTTAGGATGAAACTTTATGCTGATGATTGTTTGATTTATATGCCTGTAAGCTGTACTGATAATCAGCTTGAGTTGACCAAGTGCCTTGAAGATTTGAAATTGTGGTGTCACAAATGGGATATGCAAATTAACCTGAAAAAAACTACTTATGTACACATTAACAATAAGAAATATGTTCTCAAATTTCAGTACAGCATAGGGAGCAACATCCTCTGTGAAACAACATATTTTAAATACTTAGAGGTGACAATTACGAACAACTTAACTTGGCACCGTCTTATTGAATCAGTTTGTCCTGAGTCATTTAAAAAATTGTTATCTTCAAGCGAAGTTGCATAAAACACCGAAACAGGTTAAGCTGCTTGCATACCAAACATATATTAGACCTAGACTGGAGTATGCCACCGTGGCTTGGAGCCCTCACGAAAAACACTCAGTTACCAATTTAGAACGTATTCAGAGGCGTGCAGCATGGTTTGTGTGCTCTAGATATGGAAGGCGGGATTCAGTAACTGACGTGCTCAATTCATGCAATTTAGAAGCACTGGAAATTTGAAGACAAAAACAAAAACTTGAAACGTTATATCGTATAATGCAAGGTATATTAAAAATACCTAAAGACGAGTACATACGCCTTCCCGGAAAACGTAGCGCCAGATTGAATCATGATGCCCCCATTAAACCTTTCAAAGCTCGCACTAACATCTTTTGGTGGTTATTTTTTCCGGATGCTATAGAACAATGGAATCGTTTACCCCAGGATGTTGTTAATAGTACCGATGTGCAATCTTTTGACTGAGAAATTGATGCTTATTTTGGTCATGGTTCGATTGAACTACTGCTAATTTTGGTTTCTTGTGTGCATTGCTATTTGAGTTCTAGTTGTTTTGGTTTTCTGTTTGTACTTATTATTGTACTCCCTCCCTGTTATGACCCTCAAGCGAGCATTGACAGTAATATAAATAAATAAATAAATAAATTAAAAAATGAATGAGTGAATGAAATACATGTACATCTCAATTTTGTCTTTCAGATCGTAATGGGTGGCCGCTGGTTTAAGCAAGCTTTTGGCGATGTGGATAGTGTCGAGCCTGATGCCATATTGGAAGCTGCTAAGGATGCTGCTAGGACATACCTTCACATTGATGACCCGCCTGTCAAACACCACGTGAACCTGCTCAAGGTGTGTATAAACAAGTTGGGTGAGAACTGGGCTGTTGTAACGACAAACTGTTAACAAGATGCTTTCACAACAATCTGTCTTTTTAAACACACAACTTCTGTGAACAGCACATATCCATGGCAAAACATCAAAGCACTACAGATGTAGAAGTCACATAAACAAGAAACTTTGAGTCGTGGTATGTCTTTTAATTAGCCATAACCTGGAAATATGCATCAATATAACAAACCCAGATATAACAAAATATTGGTTATAACAAAGTAAATGAAAAATGGTCCTGCAATAGATATAGTGTTAGAAATATACCTTTATAACTAGGCTTGGCAAGTATTCGAATGCTGCAAATACTCGATCGAATAATACAGTATTCGAGTTTGCTTCGATTCAAATTTAAATTATTGAAAATTTGGAAGTATTCAAAATGAACGAATGGTTGTATGTTAATCCACATGCAATTTTTGTAAAGGTGGTTTCACTGTAGTGCAGGAATGTTACGTCGTGAAGGTGCCTACTTAATCCGCATGTAACTAGTCCTAAATGTGGTTTCATTACATTTAAAAAGTGTTTTGCCATGAAAACACTTATTCAGGGTAAATTCGCACTGCTGCGATGCTCCATCTCAAGGTTTAATGAACCCTCATACCGATTCATCATTTATTATAAAAAGTTTAAAAGCTTGCTATAGTGGTTTATCTGCTTTAAGTATAGGAAGTTTTAAAATGTAATGTATTTTACAGGTTATCACGTGCATTCTAATGAAAGTCAAATTCTGCTACTATTGAAAGTTGTTTCCACTTCCTTAGAACAAAAAAGAATTGCATTTGCACAGGCCTCGTTTCAAATTTAAAAAAAATGTTGTGGAGGTTAGTTGGGTCATGATAAATGTGTTCATTTTCGCTTACAATATATACAATATATTATATGTGATATATTCAAATTTGATTCAAAATCATTCAACCAAACGTGCTATTCGCTTCAAACCTAAAATTAACTTTTTGCACAAGCCTATTTATAATGACTATCTAGATATAACAAACTTATTTTCATGTAAAGTGCAACTTACTTATAATGAGGTTTGAGTTATATATTCAGTAATCCCTCCCTATAATAAACTCAGTGAGGTTATGAAAAAAAATCATTATAATCAGTATTTCAATGTACAGTTAAACCTTGTTAAAGAAACACTCAAGAAAAATATTAAGTCGATGCTGATTGCTGAAACAGCGGTCCAGAAACCTGGTAGTGCTACTTTTGTGCCATGGAAGTGGTTATTTTGAAATAAAATCACAAATTAGTGATCCACATCGGGTTAGCGTACTTCAAATTACCCACCTCAGGAAGGATTTTGACTCACGTCACTGCTGTTATGTAAAACATTGCCCGGCTTTACTGCGCGGCCGCTGACACTGGTAGCAGCAGAGCGAAAGTAGTGGTAGCCACAGCAGCAACAACGGCCATTGAACAATCCTTAGCCATGGCCTTCGAGATGTGAGGCATGCTTGGTTCAATGGGGCCCCGCTGTATGGCATGACCTGTCTAGTTAAACCAGGCGAAAATTGAACTTTTGAACCACTCGCGCCATTCCCCATAGTAATGTCCGGCCGTTCTTTTTTCCTGAATCAAACATAAGCGAACAAAAAGCATTTTATTGTGTTTCTTGATGCACAGAAAGTTCTTAATTTAGTGCAGCTAGTTCGATTACTAGTGATTAATCATAGACGGTAAGTACGATGTCATCGGGATCATTTTGCAAATGTCCTACTCATGGTGCATGTGTTCTCATGCATTTACCTCAATTTTTCAATAAGTAGGGCACTGCTGTTGATAATATTGTTGTTTCAGGTGTCATACATTGAGCTTTCACTCTGACATAAATTGCTATTTGACTTTAGTGTCCTTTTAATGCATACCTGCCGGAAATGCGGCTTAAGTATGCAACGGGGGGTGTAGCATGCATTAACCTCTTCCTCAAATAAATGTGCACTGATTTTGTAATTGTTCGTGTTTGTTTTTTCGCGCTTATCAGTGCATAACGCGGTCACGAACATATACACAGCATAGGTAGGTGACTCACGTTTTTGCATTTATGATCTTGGCGCAAGTTTTCAATACTTTCACAACAATATCTTTTCAAAATAATGAGTGATTTTAGCAGTACTTTGAGATTTCTTGCACCAAGATTTCACTGTATATAAACAGATCTTCTTCTTCTTCTTCTCATCATCATCGTCGTCGTCGTCGTCATCATCATCATCATCATTATTGTTATTATTATTATTATTATTATTATTATTATTATTATTATTATTATTATTATTATTATTATTATTATTAATAATAATAATAATTATTATTAACTAATAAGCAAAAAATGTGCAATTGTCCTCTCAACACTGCAGTGGTTCGCTGCCTTTCTGAACACCTGTAACGGCACTTCAGTAAACTTTATCGCTTTGCCCAGTCTGAAGTCACACACAATGTGGGGAATAGTTGTGGGAACCCAATGGGGCAGTTCAAGGTGATCAGCAAAAATTGTTTGTTAGCAGTCTTTGCATCTCCTGAACCTGTAATTTTTCATGAATGACGGAAGTTCGCAGAGTACCAAGTGAATTTTATTGAGATTTGATAGCCGAAAAATCACCGGAGTTGGCCTATGACACCGTTTTTGCTTACGACAGGACGTCCTGTGTGCGTCTTTTTTTGCGTAATGTTCTATTTTTAGGAATGAGCAAAATTTTAACCAGCTTATATCGTTACAGGAATGTGTCCCGCAGTACCTTGTCGGCCACCTTGAGCGCATGTCGAATATTTGCGAGTATATCAGCAGCCACAACATGCCTATGACCCTGCTCGGAGCATCATATCGAGGCCCATCTGCCAACGAGTGCATCTACCACGCAAAGCAAGCTGTTGAGGGGTATCTAGAAGCACTAAACGCATAGTTGACCTTTGTGACAAGTTGTAGTAATGTCGACTGTAACAAACGCAGCAACGCGATTTATCCACTGCATTTTTTGGCAGGGAGCAAAAATGTCAGTGTCATCTTAGGTGCACTTGATGGGGTGTTAAACAAAAGCTGTACAGTGAAGAACACGTCTATTTTTAACCTGGTAGAAGCTGCTAGTTTATTGAAGTTGTAGAGAAACCGAGGATGCTTCTTCCAGATCTTCCCTCGTGCACCTATGTGCTTCATATGTGCACCAAAACGTGCCGCGACGTAGTTTAATTGAACTGTCTAATTGCAGAGTCCACGGAATAACTCGATTGTGAATGATCACTTTGATGACAAGGTGATTATTTTATGTCTCTCTCGCTGCACAACATTTCAACTCTGCAACTGTAACTAAAGCAACGTACTGAATCAATTACCCATGCATCAGAGCATTCAAGCATTTCATTCCTTGCAGAGATTGAGGAACGTCCGATTCAGATTAGAGTGGCAAGCAACATGCTTTGATGTTTGGAGTCTACGGGAAAATAACATATCTAAATTTTTTTCCTGTAAGTGTATTGTTGATGTTTAACAGTTTACACTGATAATAGTAGAGTCAAATGTCATTATAAATGCCGTGTATGTAACTAAGTAAATCTGAAACATTTCTAACCAATATCTGCATAGAATTATATGTCTATAGTGAATATTTGCCATATAGCAAAGCTAGTTTTTTTGTGAAATGTATTATGTTTTAATGAGGTTTGATATACTGTGATGCTTTGAATGTAGATGTGATGACCTATTCATCTCAGCTATTGCTAGTACAAAGATATTTCCAATCCCCCTTCAAACCTATAGCTGCTAGAGGGGCAATCGTATATAGCAAAGCTTATTATGCTCGACTGTATTTTTTGTGTGAATATTGAATGTTTATGATGCAGGGTAACACTTTTGTGGTTTTGTAAATGGAGTCCCTGTTTGAAAGATTGCTTAGTAAAGCTGGAAATCTGCTTGCCATGAAATATCAGAAAAGCTTAGGAAACGGCTGCTTGAGTGCCAACTTTGCTTACGAATGCCAGAAGTCTGCTTGTTGGTTTGGTAATATAGCATGTTTATTATTGCACTGAATGCATGCATTTGTTGTTGGGCAAACAGCAGAAAACATTAACGAACACAGTTATCATATGTTGAAGGGACACTAAAGAAGGCAACGATTTTTTGCGTGTTCGTAAAGTACAATTCCACAATCCTGAAAACAGAAAATTTCATCAAGCCAATGTCATGAAAATATGGAAAGTGCATTTTGAAATTTTTGACATTATACATGAAGATTCTGGTGCAATATTTTAAAATGAAACTTCAATCTTAAGTTTTTTTGCTAATAATGAACTTACCGTATGAGAGTGGAACTTTAGACATTAGGGTTCTCAGAGTGCAGTTTGTTAATCTAAACAAAGTCATTCTTTCTCTTCTGTGTCCCTTTCACACGAGTTGGAAAAAATATACATTAGGAGCTGATTTTTAAATGTATTGTAGCTCTTATTGCACAAAACTACAATGTTCTATTCCACTGAATCTACAAAACAGGCCAAAAACGTATGACTGGTTGGTCAACTTTTTTTTTTACAAATGTAGGTCATGCTTCATTTTTCTTAAAAGCTCATGTGAGCTTAGCAATGCTGTTGATGTAATGTAGAATGAAAATGAAGCTAACAGAGTGGAAATTGTTCTGATTATTGTTGTGTGTCGTAGGCATGAATCAGGCTTGAACAAGGACTTCTCAGGTTACAACATACTTATCGACCAGCTGTTTCGCATTCGTGGAGTGTGTGTTCAAGGTGTTTTATTGGGCTCTTTTTGTTTGGCTATAGCATTTGTTTTCATATATCGATTTCTGCTGATGGTGTAAGCTAAGTTAAAAATTTGTGTTAGCTTTCGTGTCGGCATATGGGGAGAATCGTTATCGGGATATTTTTATTCATATATACATATGCGTTTTTAAATATATTACCCTAAAGTAGATATGTCTTTTCTTAAGTTATACAAGATGTTACACTTGAAGTAAAACCGGTTGAAGCGGTGAGAATAAGACGATCGTAAATAGTCATGCCATAATATACGTACTGGATTGTGTGTGTCCTATGGATAGGTCTGAAATGTGTATTTTTGGTCATGCTTTTTGTTTCCTATTGAGTGCACATGTTAGGAGACTTGTGGCTTGCTTATTTTCCGATTCCCATGAAGTTTTATTGTCTTACATGGACGTGGACATCTGCTGATGTTTTCAGCTGAAGTATGTCACCATCGCTCATCAAGTGCCATTTTCTGTGTGATGAACATTTACTCACTGTAAGTTACTGTTACTCAAAAATGTTATCATGTCATCACAGGAAAGCTTTGTTATTGTGTAACCTGTAGCTCGAGGACGCTTTCCATTGAAGTGCTATGAAATCTCAGCGAAGAGAAGCCACTGATGCTTTTAGGAGCCTAAATGTAATGGCAGTTGTAGCATTCAATGCTCAGGTGAAACCAGTTTTGTTCGGTAATGTGTAATTATTTTTTCTGACCATACATTCTCTATTGAATGCTAGCCATTTCATTCCCTAGCTGTGCAGATGTTTACAAGTCATAATAAATAGTGTGTTCTGTAACACGAAACTAGAGTAGACTTTCTGTTAACAGAAATCTGTTAAACGGAATGACTGCTTAAACAGAACTATTGCCTCTGCAACACTTGGTTTCGGGCTTGTATTCTGTACCTATGTTCACATCTCGGTAAATGGAACTCCTGTTAAATTGAACATATTTTCCCGGTCTCTTTAGGTTCCGTTTGCTGAGAGTCTACTGTACATGAAGTATATTTTAAATGATTTTGTGACATGACATTGTATGGCGTCAGTGTTTTAAACTTGTGCTTCATGATAGCTATCATCAATCTATGCACAGAACACTTCTTATGGACATTATTGGTTGAAGTAGCTGCCCCACAGTCTGCATTGGGCATGTGATAAACAAGCCTCCTGTAGCTGAACGAAATTGTTAGATTTTGTGTAACGTCCATCAAAATATGTTACAATTGTGTTATAGAATGCCATGAAAGAAACAGACAATAACATGTGGCCTCCAAATAGCAATAAGACAGTTGCAGATGCACTGTTATCGAAGTTTGTTAACACTAGACCATTTTCTAGTGGCCTTGCTTCACATTTTCATTCGGATTTTCTTTGTTAATTGATCAGCATAAATATACAAACTTACTTGCTCAGTAGTTAACTAATATTGCAGTAAATGAGGCTGTTACTTTTCCTTTTTATGACATACTGTACCATAGGCCATGTGCAGAGCTCTCAATCGCGAGGGAGGAAAGGGGGAGGACAAGTCTCGGTTTTTAGTCCAAAAAAAAAAAATCTTCGCCATGGATGCAAAATTGAAAATGGAGGGACGCTGTGTTACTCACAATAACCTGCTGTATGCCTCACTTTTCCTCCGGGGCCAAAGGTAGGAAGTCAACCTAATATGTAACCCGTGCTTTTAATGCACCATCAAGAATCAATCATTATTATTGTCAAAAGGATATGTAATCATGACCGTGGGCATTAAAAAAAATGGCATGAAAGACCCAACTGATTAAATATGTGGGGCAGCATTGGTGCACCTCCCCTTCAGATTACTAGAGGGAGAGGATGCCCCCTCCTTCCTTCTGCCCCCACCATGTGCATGTCTATGTATGGTACCATTTATTTAGACAATCATGTGAGGAAACAGTTGAGAGAAGCAAAAAAGATTGAAAAGATCCAAGGCAGCGTGCTGTCAAGAGCAAAAGATGAAGATGGCTGCTGTGAGACTTCATCATTGCTTTCAAAAGAACTGTACTGTCTTACAGCACATATTACATGTTCACGCAGTCTTGGGCAGTAACTAGTTACTAGTAACATGTTATCGGTAACTAGGTACTTTTTTGAGTAACTTCTAACTGTAACTAGTTACTTTTAAAATAGAAGAACTTGTAACTGTAACACTGTTACTTTTTTACACGGCAATTGTAGCGTAATATACCGTTAGTTATTTTTGCTTTCATAAAAAGGCATCAAATATTCATAATCAATTATAATCAAATAGTCATAATTTTAAATGCTTCTCACTTATTCGAACTTTCTCCTTTACTATATGCTCTCTACCTTTCACCTTTCCACGATAGTCTTCCCCTCACAGTTTTGAAGATAACGTCGCTAAAGAAGAATATGTTCCGTGCAGAAGACCCTATTTGGAGTTCACTTCGAAACTACATGCCGGAAATAATCATGTTGCCGCTGAATGACTTTGCAAATTCACATGTCGTTTTGGGGGGGTGGGAACGCAGCGAGGTGGTGAGCTACAAATTTTTTTTTAATGCGGAGCATTTTATAGTCACTTACTCGCGAATCCTGTATCGGCGGTGGGTTAGACACTCCCACTGCACATGTTCACGTCTTGTGTCTCGTGCCAACTGTCGCTCCCCCCCACCCAACTCTTTCGCCTCGGCAAGGCCGACGCAGGCAGCGTCTGCTAGTAAAAACCCACTGCTCACGCTGCACAACCATTCACTGGTTACCTCATATATGTAGGCACTGGATCGGGCGTTTGGAATTCATTCAAGGGTGTCCTTGCTTTCTATTGACTTGGCGCTTTGCTTGACTCGAGTAATGAGAAAATAAAACCTTGAGGAGATTTTATTTTTTCATTACTACATTATCTTGATAGAACGTTTCAATGGTGTAGGCATAAACTTATGTTTTCTGTGCTAAGAAATAGACTGGCAGTTTTTGTTTAACTAACACTGTTCTGAAGGGTGAGGTTTGTTATCTGCTAATAGCAATGGATTAACTCTGCTACATCCCACACTTGAAATTGTGCACAAGTGTTCGGGACTGCATTCCCACTGGCCACTAACAAGCCAATTTGATGTTTGTGCATTTGCCTCCTAATAGGGGCATAACTAATATAACTGTGTGTACCTGTAGCACGTATTCCAAAATAGGTTAGTGTAGTGATTGAATTATGAATTCTTGCTATGCACTCACTCTATAATGTGAAATCTGATAGTATCCATACATGTTCTTCCCTTGAGCCCTGCTGCTTGTTATGTTATGGGGCCCTTTCTTGATTATAGAGACAGGGCAGTATTATCTATCTATGGTAGCTTGATGCTTAGATTTTTTTTTTTTTGCTGCTGATCGTGAAAGACTTTTGGGCACAAAGTTGAGGCAATATTGTTGTACTACGTTCCCACCATTTACAGATTTCTTGTGATTGTCGCATGAGGAAGTATGTGTCGAAACTTTTGATGCTGTGATGTAAAGCTATAAGTGCTGAAATTCGGTTCCTGTGCTCAGAAAGCTTTTGCAGTCAGACATATATCAATGAAATATTGGAACATGTATTTCAAGAAGGAAATTGTTCTGCACTTTCAAGTGGCAAGAATGTCTTAGGAAGTGCTACACAGTCATAAATACAGCATGCACATTTGTGTCTTGCTGTATATGCTTTTACCAAAACTTGTGCATTTTGATGGCTTGTTAGGTATTGTAGAGTATTTCTGTGAGCTGTTAAAATGCATTGTTTCTCAACAGTGACTGTCATAATATTATTTCTCGCAATCCTTTTACATGTACTTGGAATATTTATCCGATTCTTGGTCTCTGATTTACCTTACGAGTTTTCTCACACTTAATCTTTTCTAAACGTGCCTGAAATTTTGTGAAAGTGTCAGCCAACCTTTGTCTTATACAGACATGAATTTGTGACTCTACCAAAGCACGTAAGTTGGTGTGAATTCTTATTGGTGCACTTTAAGGTGTTTGGCCATCTGGGTTATGCTTTTGCCTGCTGTAAAGCATTTGAAAATAAAGTGCATGAAAGGTCAAGTGTTCTTCCAGTTTGTTTGATGCCGCTGAAAACTGTGAATCTTTGATGGCAGTTTCCACACAATGTTGTGACTTCTAAGAAAGGGCTAACATTAAGTTACGGTGACAGATTAGTGTTCATGCGTGTCCTAAGTGACACATTTAGGAGAAGCTGTGATTCTGTAATTGAGAAATGATGTCAACATACTAATATCATTAACTGTTCTGGCACTTGGGAGATAGGGCACTAACTTCAATAAGCCAAACCAAAGGTAAGAGCCATTGGATGGGTACACAGTGGATTATAATGATTGTGTAAATGAGAATAATGTCCCTCAGGCAGGCTAGATGACGTTTCAATGGTTGGACGTATCTGTGTCCAATGCGCCATGTAATCCTTGGCATGTTATATTTAAAGGGCCCCTGAACTGGCTTGAATAACTTTTTTAACATTTCAAATAAATGCGCGCATCGAGTTCATAATTCTGGCACGATTAACAACACTACAAGTGGTGATATTGCGAGCGGCGGGAAGGCCATATTCTATGAAACAATTCTTTTTCCTCTCCGGGTCTTGCGGTAATCCTCGGCAAATCCTCGTGTAATGCTGATCCCGTGACAGTGTACATATAGAAGCCTAATTTGTGGGCGAGTATTGCATTGTTGCAATGTACGTGCTGTCAATCTTAACTCCCACTTTTTTTCTTTCGAACCTGCCACTTCTCGCCTTTCCTGCACCTAGAAGTAGACTGCTCCACTGGCAGAACTTTCTGTACAGACACTACACGTCGGCATTCTTTCGAAACATAAAGCCGAGTTGCTTGAAGCCGACATGGCAAAGCGATGGAAGGTGGGAAATGCTTTGGAGGCAAAAGGAAAGTCTGTGAATTGAGAAAAAAAAATAAAAACATATAAATTATTGGCCTTACAATATATAAATGACATTTATTTTTGTACACATTTGACGAGGTTGCAATTTACAAACAGTTGCAAGCAAGAACTCATTTGTGGTAGAACTGCTTTGTTGGCCTTGAGATAGCAAGGAGACATTGTGCCGACGGCCAAATAATACTGCTCCGCGGGCCGCAGGTTGCCGACAGTTGCCCTACACTAATGGCCACAGCAAGTATCGCACACCAAGCGCGTAAACAGGTCCACAGAAATGACTGTAATATCAATACCGGGATACCGTCTCAACTCCAACGTTGACGCCCCGCGGGCTAGGACGACTTTTCTGTCTCCATTTCTTTTTCTCTCTCGATTTCAACAAGAGCATCTCAGTTCTGGTCTGGAACAAGGGGCGCGTGCCACAGGCACACTGATACTGCCACACTCCTTTTCCAAGTTATCTTATCGCCCCATACACTGGCAAGTGCTACCTTGCGCAACCGTGTCGACTGACGAAGAGCCACCGAGATAATCTTGGAACCTTCCGATGCGATTACGCGCATAACGTGGCCATTACACATTCTTTTGAAACTTACGTAGCCGCTAGCGATAACGCTGGAATATTGGACGGCACATGTATAAAGGCCGACGCGCATTACCGCTTCGACTCGCTCGCTGGATTTCGTGCCGACTGGTTTTGCCCCCGCGATCTCCGACGACAGCTGCCGCTCTGGCTGACTCGACTGGCTCGCCCTACGCCATCTGACGCCGACAGAGCTCTCGCTGAGTGGTGCCCCGTCGTCGGGCTCTTGCGACCGTGTCCATCTTTCCTATCTTCTTATTTCTGTATGTCGGTCTCTCTATCCCTGCCCCTATATCTATCTCCATCTCTTTTATTCCTCCATATCCCTTTTAATCCCTCCTTACCCCATCCCTAGTTAGTCACTCGTGAGAGCGTCGCACTATGAGTTACGGGGTTAACTTCTCTCTTCTTTTCACTCTTTTAAGAATCACCCCCCCCCCCCCCTCCATCACCACTTGTCAGTTGATCGATGGCCGACGCTTTGTTCGCCGCTGCCAGCGCCAGTGTGTATCCCTGCAATCTCGTTTCCAGTTCACCGGCCACAAGTTCGGACAAATAAACAGTTTGATATTAGACATACAGTTTGCTCCTTCAGTCCGTGTCACAACTCCATGAGAATATATTTATTTAGAAAGTTGCCAAGGTCCTTATGTCCTGCAAGACGCATCGAGACGACAGCCTTTCACCTCTCTTTCTTGTCCTCTTCATTGAACTCTTTCTTGAATGTTTTCCTTGCCCTTAATTGACCCTTCGTTGAATATTCTTTCTTTCTTTTTCTGAGTAGATTGTGTTGAACCGCTGCTCCTATCCCTGAAGCTCCTCCAATATTTCCCAGCGTAGGATAGCAAGCCGGACGTGCGTCTGGCTGGCCTTCCTGCTTCCTCCTCATTTGCTCTTCGCGTGGCGTCGGAATCCGCGCACGTTTCACTGCCTTCAGAATCAGCGGACGGTTCAGCAAGCGGCGATGTTTTGTTGTGACGTCATCAAATGCCATAATAACGGTAGTTAGAGTGCGAGAACTGAACGATGACAAAGAGACAAGAAGGAGACGAGCGTCTCTTTGTCGTCGTTCTGTTCTCGCGCTATAACTACCGTCATGTCATACCAACTAGCCGAAACCGCCACACTTCTAAGCCATAATAACGCCACAAAATTTTGGTATTCTGTGGCGTCATGATGCCGTCACATTCAATGAAGCCCCGCTCCTCACATTTCGCCGACCGAGCGCATCCGCAGCTTTTGTACCGCTCGTTGCATCTTCAAGGTCACCGTATGATAAAGGCTTTCGGCCTAATAAAGCATAGCAGTCAACGCGCTGACCTATATTCACTGCTGCTCTAAATTTCGAAAAAGGTTTCCGGAAAACTTTCTGCTTGGAGCTTACCCTCCTGTTTTAATTTTTTTCCGACGAACATCAGAGGTTAAATGGGAAGGGGGCGCTATAATTAAGCCTTCTTTCTTGGAAGGGCAACCGGGAGTGTGATGGCGTACGTGCTAAGTCTTGAACGCTCAACATCCCGACCGCTAGCGTGCTTACCACAGCGTTACGATACGTAGCAACACCACCAGTTTAATAATTCCGCGTCCGGATTGTTGCTAACAGCTTGAGCAAGACCATTAGGCGGGTCGATGCGGGAACCCGGCGCGGGGTTGGCTGCTTGCTTAAGCCGTCCACAAAGGGCAGCCTTTATAGGCCGACCCGGTCGCATTTCGACAGAGAGAGAGTTTCCCGCGATCGCTTTCCGCGCTGCTTATTTGAAATCAATTTCTAAGGGAGAACATGTGACCTCTATCTTTGCTATGGCGCCCACACACCGGTAAGCAAAAGCAGCTCGTGGTTCGCGCGTCGCAACTGGAAGCGGCGGCTTTTGCGAAGGTGACATGACTCGAAACGAGACTAGCTTTGACAACAAGGAAGACGCCAATGACGTCGTCTGGATTCTGACGAGTTCTTTCCTAATTTTCACGATGCAGTCCGGTGAGTGTAAGGGCTTCAAGAAAGCGACATGTTAGAGAGTTGTAGGCTATAGAGAACGCGAGGGGCTTGCGTCCCACTTGCGTACGCAAGCTGCTTAGGTCCCAGTAATACAAGGTAGGAGTTGGGTTTCGCCGCCTACGTTCTAATAAGCCTGCAGCTATCCAGTATGAAGAGCTTCAGATTAGGGTGCGTAAAGTACAGGGGGAATGAAGGGATGTATAGGACGCTCGAAAAAAAAGGAGAAAAAGAAAGAACCTACGGTGAGCACGCACCCCCCCTCCCCACTTCCCCAAGAATCAGGGGAGAAGATATTGGAGAGGGAAAGTACCCTTAGCTGACGAGAACCATAGTTACTTTATGGACAGTGAGCATAGTTGCCGACTGACATTTGTTGCTAATTACGGAAGGAATTGTGCCATAGAAATTGTCGTCATAGATCACTCACTACTGAAGGAGCAGGCCTGTTATAAAACGAAAGTAAACACTATATATAGATGACGTGTGATTATGACACCTGCGATGTGCCATTATGTCATCTGCTCAGCATCCTCTCAAACACTTGCACGTTAAAACTGTCACAGGAGAAAATCTGGGAGCCTAATTCATTCAGCAGAAGAAGTGTGTTATTTAAATGCATTCGTGTACCACAGATATGTCTTGAGTTACCATTCTGTCTGAATATTTCTTATGCTTCAACTATGCTTTTCTTTAATTTAGTCTTAATATTATTAATTGATGAGATTAACGTCCCAAAACAACAATATCATTACGAGGGCCGTAGTGGAGGGCTACGGATATTTCTATTACCTGGGAGGATTGTTTAATGTGCACCTAAATAATAAGTTAATGGGCCTGGAGCACTTGAGCCTCCATGGAAAATGCGGCCACCGCGATCGCGATTCGATTCCGCGACTTGCGGGTCAGCATTGGAGTATCATAACCACTGTACCGTCATGACGGGTTTTAATTTATCTTCAGGAATTTTCTTGTTCGGTAAGATCACAATATGAGACTTCCCTTACAACAACATTCCTTATTTGAATTATTGCACTGTGTGGTTTATTGGCATTGGCTTCGCCACAGCTAGCTTGATAATGCGGCAGTGCACTCTTTACAGGAGCTAAAAGTAATTGGTTTTTAGGTGAGTTAAGGATTGAAAGGAGAGACGCTGTCAAGTTGCACAACAGAAATTACAGCCGTAAATAGAAAGATCGTAAGGAAATTGCCATGGCTTTGCTTGAATGGGTCAGGCTATGGTAGCTAAAGTTTGTTTGTGTTGTTAACTACTGTTGGCTACAGTGTGGTTATTCTTGTTCACGCCAGAAGCCGAAGAACAGTTTACCAACCGAATGGTACAGCTAGACAAAAGTTCCGTTCTGCGTGCACTCACTGGGGTCGTTTAGTCAGTTTCAGAAGCCATCGACGCGAGTAACGCCACGCTCCTAAACAAAAGACGCTAGTGCTCGCTTACTCCTCTGCTAGCAGATATGCGCACTCCTTGCGTTTTAATCTCGTACTCTAAGGAAGGACATTCGGAGAGGCCGGCGAACTCGTTCGCTGTGGGCTTGTGCACAACGGCAACGCTACAACTGCATTTAACGTGGCTTGTGACAGGGTATTAGTACTTCGCCTCAAGGCCACGCGGAGATAGACAGTGCAACTTGCTCGACTAAACCAGTAAAGGTTTCGCTTTAAAACAACGATTACAATTAAGGGTGTTCACTATGCACAGAAGTGCTGGTAAGACAGTAGTTCACTGTGTACATTGTGACGCAAGGTTGGAATCCACAGAAAGAGCAAAAGTTTCTTAAGTTGCAGGTAAAAGAAAGAAGAAAACGCACACTGTAGTAAAGTAACCTGTCTTCTTTACACAGTACAAATACGGTGAAAGGACGTGAGCTCGAGGATGCTGATACTCCGTCTTAACAACTATAGTTCACAGAAAGGACAAGACACGTGACGAAAGAATGGCATGGCGTTTGCGCCCTGTCCGCCGCGCGAACCTTCTCGAGCGTACGGTGACCAATGTCGTGCAGGTTATGGATTGCTCGAATCCGGCTTTCGTTTCCCGCAAGAACGAGGTGAACATCCTCGTGAAGAACGCCACTACTGTGCTGTTCGGTGGACTTGTTTTCTGGGCTGTCGGCTACGGCATCGGCTTTGATCCGATGAACAACCCATACTTCAGCTTCGGCAAGTTCTTCACGAGTGCTGATGAAATTCACATGGGGCAACGGTATTCACGGTTTGTCTTTCAGGTACGTTGGCCAGCCAGCTTTCTTGCTGTGTGTGTGAGAGAGAGAATAACAGAGAGCTTTCGTGCGCTTGTAGTTCGCCATCAATTCAAACAAGAACGATGGCGGTGGCACTTGCACTTCGCATCCTATATCTACGTCATCGTCCAATGACTAGCTATTGCATTTCGAATCAGGCATGTACAACCAGCCCAATCTTTGAAGTTATTTGGAGTGCAGTTGCTTTTTTTCTGTGTGCATTTGTCAATGATCTTTTCTTTTTGAGTAACTTTGATTTATACTGAATTAGCCCCTTATAGGAATGAAATGAAGTCAATAAATGCTCCACCAGATACGCCAGCTAAGTGCATCTATATACAGGTGGTCCATAATGACGCTAGTCTAGGTTTCCGTGTTTAGGTATGCACAGCCGGCATTATAGAAAAACTGTGCCATCTTGACCGCCTATCACTTGCTTTTCTCTGGAAGCACGATGAAAGCTACGTATCACATGGCGCGCATAAACGTCACACGGTCAGTCATTATACTCTTAGCTTCTATTACAGATGCCTAGGTTTCCAAACAGCATGGTGAGTGGGTTGGAGTGAGTCAAGCCGGTGTAATTGTGCATTGAGATTGAGGTACACAAAATACATCTGTCGTTGCCGTCATCGAAATTTGGACGTTTGCCTGTACAAGGTTCATTCCGGTATTCTACAACATCTTTCAAACGAAATGCAGCCGCTTCTTCAGCTATGCATGTGGCCTGGGTTTAGTGGTCTGAGTGAGAGGGTGAGGTTTCTTGGGGGAATGCTTCAAAAACATAAGGTCACTTGCCTCCCTTCACTGACGCCTTGGTTTTGTTGCCCTCTTTTTGTGTGTGTGTGTGAGCAGCTAGCGTACGCCACCACGTCGACGGCTCTCGTGTCGGGCTCCATGGCCGAGCGCACCAAGTTCACTTCGTACTGCCTGTTCTCGGCGCTGGCCACGGTGGTGTACTGCGTGCCAGCCGGCTGGCTCTGGAACAAGGGTGGCTTCCTGGCACTCATGGGGGCCGTCGACATCGGCGGGTCGGGAGTCGTGCACCTCCTGGGCGGCTGCGTGGGTCTCGTCGCTGCCGTCGTACTCGGACCGAGGCTTGGACGCTACGACTGTGGGACGGCGCCGCTTCCCCTGGGCAACCCCACCAATGCGCTGCTGGGGCTTTTCATGCTCTGGTATACGCACCGCCGTAGCGATTGCGGCTAATAGCGATAACTGTTGAGATTTAACGTCCCAAAACCACGATATCATTTTGAGAGACGCCGTAGTGGAGGGTTTCCGGAAATTTAAACTACCCGATGTTTTTAAACGTGCACCTAAATTCAAGTGCACGGGCCCCAAGCATTTTCGCCTCCATCAAATATGAGGCTGCTGTGACCTGAATTTTCGCCTCCATCAAATATGAGGCTGCTGTGACCTGAATTTGACCCCATGACCCTACGGGTCAGCAGTCGAGCGCCATATAACCACAAGGTCACCGTGGTGGGTGAGCGAATGTTGCTCTTGTTTAGTCTTACTGCTGTCAACCAATGGTGACACCATGCGCATGTGAAAACGTGCGTAAGGAACGCAAGGCCAAATGAGGGGTAGTATGTGAGAATCGTTCATCCACCGGGGCATGCTGCTGAGAAAGTTGGTGCATAACTTGAGCAAAAATAGGTATGTTGTTAAGGGTCAAAAGTTACTGAGCATCAATGGTCTGAATAAAACCAAAAAACAATACTTTCGTTTATGACGCGACTGTGAAATAGAGATGTGAGGCTTTTCGGTGAAAGAATTTAAAAGCTGGAACTATCAAAAGTTTGTTTTTTCATTTAATAAACCATCTGTTACCATGAGGAAAATGTAAATAGAGTTTCGGCAGTATACCCAGTTACCGTGAATTCAGTTCATGTTTGCCTGCTTACGTAAGAAATTTAAAGAATGAAAGATAGGTGAACGTCTTGCACGCTTTGCAACGAAATTCAACATCGTTTTGTTTCTTTGCTCGGTAACACAGGTGGGGGTGGCTTGGATTTAGCGCTGGAAGTACTATGGGAATTGTGAGGAACAAGTGGAAATACTCTGCGAGGTAAATATGGGAAGAGCTACGCATGACTCTAGCACCACTGCTGTTATATTATTGATAAAAATCTACACATATCCCCAAAGTGAGTGCTGATGATGGCGCGAAGCACTGTGCATCGGATCGTGGCCTTCTATTTTGTTTTGGTTAACAAACCTTTTATTTTGTTCTCGTTAATCTTTTGTTTTGTCATGTGCTTTTATAGATGGGTGGCTATATGTCGGTGTTTTCGATGTTGTGGCTATTTTATTTTTGTTTTTTTCTGGTTAACAACCTTCCGATAACATTTTTATTGTTGGCAGATGTTTTGGTTTCTTCATCTGCTGTAGATGGCGGGCGGCGGTTTGTGGGTGGAGGGACATTGCACGGTATTAAGGTGCTTCACCCCCCAAAACATATGTCAAGTCAACATAGTTTCTCTAGAGCTGATTTTTGACTAGTAAAAAACTGAACCAGCTGTTCGATTGGGGCATCAGCGCTAGAAGTTAAGCTTACCACAATAAATGCGCATAAAAAAAAAAAGGTGTCTCACATAGCAGCTCCTTCAAAGATCGCTAGTTGTGATCATATATTGAAAATCCGCGCTTTCTCCTGCTCCGCTATCCTTATATCTTGTCAATACATCAGGTAAGTGCAGGCATGGGCGAGTATTGTCTTTTTGTTTCTAGTTGGTTCAACTTTATGCATGTAAAATGCGCATTACTTCGCTGTAAATGTCCAGCTATATAAGTTTTCATATTTTCCAGAGCTTCAGTAACGACTATCTTGGCGTCAATGACCGGCGGCTTCGTTGGAATGGCAATGAGGTTGGTCACATCGAAGTTGATACTATTAGTTAGTCTTTTTCTCTTGGTGCTTTCAAAGTTTCAAGGTGTATCCAGCTCATTACAAAAGCTTCAGTCTTGATCGCACGACATAGATTGCATGACGTCACTTATGCGAACTGTTTTTACCAGAACGTTATTTCGTTGCATATCGTTTGCCACTTGTGGAATTGTCACGATTATTAGTCACCAATCTATAATCAGTACTGGTTGCGTCTCTTCACGATTATGTTTTCATTTTTCAGTTTCATCTTGAAAAAAGGACAGCATGATGTGTCGTGGCTCATGAACACTGTTATGGGATCGCTTGTGGCTATCTCAGGTAATATTCGATCTACTTGTAATCACCTTGTCGGTCAGTTGATCAATCAATCAATCAATCAATCAATCAATCAATCAATCAATCAATCAATCAATCAATCAATCAATCAATCAATCAATCAATCAATCACTTAATCAATCAATCAATCAATCAATCCAGCATATCTCGCTGTCGTCTGCGCAGCTCAAGAGACTCCACGCCGCCGCAGTTTCTCACTTGACCATTGTGGTAAAAAAAAAAAAAAAGACAGCTCGTGCCCGTGATGTGTAGTCTCCGTGAGGCGGGTCGACCATGTAACCATAGCACACGGCCGCGTAATAACTATGATTTCTTTAAGCATTAAGTTTTTGCTTGCCGAGTAATCTAAATACTGTTGAAAATTGTTGTGTGTGCACATTTTCTAATACATGTATTTTAAATATGCTTTGCTAAGTATAAGTCTGTAGTAATATTTCTCTCTTCTTGTAAAACACCTATATTACTATTATTTGTTTTATTCTGTGACATACGTATGGTTCGTTTACATTGTCCTGAGATGCATTTTGCTGTTGCCGTCTTGCTCCCCCAGTTAACATGGATACGTGGGGCTCGTCAAGCTGTCTCCCTTTTCCAACCATGTAATGGGTAACCATGGGTAGGCGTTCACATGCACCACTATTCAATCGGACCCGTGCACTGCGTTTAGTCATTGTTATTAGGGCCGACATGTCTCCATGAAAGATTTTAGTAATAATGGCGGCCGGAGACCCTCATGTTGCAATGTGATAACTGTTTTTACTTTCCGCCTTTATCCTCGGTTAGCAGGGTACCAAAAGCTGGGCATCGTGAGAAGCACGCCATCGTTTGATTTTCACTGCTGTATCCTTCGCGAAGCTTTTTTTTTTTCTTCGTTATAGAGAGATGGTCGCTGCGGTAGAGCTTTGACCCTCCAGGATCCTAGTGGAGAACCCTGTGCACGCCACTGTAGTTGCTAAATAAGCAAACTCGGAATTGAGTTCAGTTGCGAGTCGCGCACGCCCTGTCATCTTCCACGGTCCCCGTGCTTCCAGCGTTTAACTGAATGCGCCAAACCGACTAGTCCCGAAAGTCTGTTCTCCCGGATTCCAGACTCAAAACATTGCAGTGTTTTACGGTCGCTCCGTGCGTGTCTTCTGCGCAGGTGGCGCCCCCATCTTTCGACCCTGGGCCGCGTTGGTGGTGGGCGCCGTGGCGGCTCTGCTGGTGCTGGCCGCCATACCGCTGCTGGACCGGCTGCGCGTGGACGACCCGACCGAGACGTTCGCGGCTCACGGCGTGTGCGGCCTCTGGGGGCTCCTCGCCATCGGCCTGTTCCCCGAACGCGACACGCTCATGGACTACACGCACGGCCGCTCAGGGCTGTTCGCCGCCGGAGGAGACGCCAGCCTGCTCGCCGTGCAAGCGGCGGCCGCCGCTTGCATCATCGCCTGGGCTGTCGGGGCCTCGACACTGCTGCTGCTCGTGAGCTATTCGTTCGTCTCGAATACGAATCATCACATGCACAGTAGTTACTTGTGGGTGTCACGGGGAGATCCGTTCTTTTATGAATATGTAGAGAAGGTTGTTTTTACGATAACGTTGTTTTGTTGCACACACTTTGCTACTTGTGCCGAGGTTTTTATCGTTTCTTGGTGGAAACTTGAAAAGGCAGCGTAACAGACAAGAAGTAGTGATAGCAACTATGTGTATCTTCTTCGATAGTCCTTACTTGTTGGACTGCTATTACATTAGCGATAATTTTCTTTCATATTCACAGAGCACGAATGAAGTCTGTCATCATCATTCTCATCAATGTCAGCGTGTTTTATTACGCTGCAGGACGAAACCCTTTGTCAATGATCTCCAGTTTGCCCTCTTTTGATCGGGCTGCTAAATATGTCACATTGAGCGCTGCTAATAAACAATATTTATTCATTTCATTACATATTTAAGTTTACCATTGCTGGGCAATGTATGTACGTAGCTAAATCTTGAGTAGCACAATTGACAGTCAACTGAAACAGACAAAGTGTGACAAAACTCACAATTCCTGACTACGTGCGTACTCAAGAACAGCGGGATAAAGCTGGTCGCGAGGACCCAGGGCGCGACCCGAGCTCAAGGCATTCCGGAGTAAAGAAACCTTTTCTTCGCTATTTTGTACATGAGGATTTTCAACCGCAAAGCTGCTTAAGAGACCACCCTGCCGTGTCCCAGTATCTGTATTTGGCGTCTTGAAGGTCCCACATTTGATAAGCCGAGTAAGGCGCACGTTTGGAACTTCAGCGCTCGTTTGTCCGTGAACGCCAGTTTCGTGGAAGGGCCAATTTGTCAGTGTGAGCCAGTGAAGCGACAACGAAAAACCAGCGTTGTTAGATGCACAGGGAGCAGCAAAAAAAAGGAAAACACCAGAAAGAACTCTACACAACCGAAAAACAATAACTATGATGCAAATCGCAACAACAACAACAACAACAACAACAACAACAACAACAACAACAACAACAACAACAACAATAATAATAATAATAATAATAATAATAATAATAATAATAATAATAATAATAATAATAATAATAATAATATCATTTCGCGTTTTACAAGCCAGAACCATGATATAATCACCAGGCGCGAGATAGTAGATGGTTCCGCAAATTCTGACTATTGTGCTCTTTAATGTGCACTGACATCACATAGTACACGGACATCTACCCTTTCGCTCTTATCAGAATACGATGAAGCAAACCATATATGTATAATCAAAAGAAAAGAACGGGAAAGGGTGTGAAGTATCACACAATCACGCGCAAAGAACACAAAAGAACAAGAGAGAGTAGGGTAAACCTGATGAAACACACGACCGAAACATGAACTAATTAATACTCAGCATCTCCCACACCTTTTATTTGGAGTGCAACTGGCTTTGATTTTTGTTTTCTCTCGATCTATTTGTTTTGCGCAGCTGATCAAGTACACGATCGGACTGCGCATGACGGCTGAGCAAGAGATCCTGGGTCCTGACCTCGTGGACCACGACATCGAGCACGACTACAACTCGCCTTTTCTCCGCGCTCTGCAAGAACACTACCGCGCTGGTCGCAAGCTGAAGGCACTCAAGATCAAAGTGGACATTCTAAGAGAATAATAAAAACAAAGTTACATTTCACACCGTAACATGTCGAATGTGATACTTTCGAGCTCGCGAAAACTGAAATACAAACGCGCGTATACTGGAAATATGCTGGCACACGGGTGCGATTCATGCAGTAATCTCCTTGGGAGTGCTCACTGCAATTTTCCAGCTAGTATACGGCCAATGAAATGCCTTCAGCAAAGGGTTGGGTTGGAAAGGTTTGTCTCACAAAGAACTCTAGAATAAGCAGCTTTTGCGAAGTAAGACTTGGGTTTCTTCTACTCGGGACACCGTTGTGAGCAACGGCTTACAACGTTACAACGTTACGAAGGTTACTAGATCCTCTAGGATCTAGTAACGTTGGTTGTGAAGACGTGGAAGTCGCGGTGCGGAACGCAATTTAGGGACCATGACAAAACATCGTGACCGGCGCAACCTGATGAAAAAGCACGAGTTAGAAGAATATCTATAAGACGAACATCTGGCTTTGTGTGCGAAGCAGTGGCCCGAAAGAGAAAATATCGAGCGTGTAATTAATGTAACCGAGTCGTTGCATTGTAAAGAAACTAACCACGAAAGTGATAGCAGTGAATAGGGTATGTGACTTCCACATACAGGACTATACACACATAGCTGGTGTAAGCAAGGCCATTGCCCGTTATTTTTTTCCCCATCTCTACCTAATTCGCCTTCTTAACTTTTAGAGATATCTGCTGCGCATTAAAAAACACCAAGCCTGCGTGGAAGGCGCAGCACAGTCACTGCGAATGCTAGAAGAGCGGCCTTTCAGAGCCTTTTCAAAACACTCATTGGGTAACGGCAACAAGCACACTTGCATGATACCCACTAGGGCATTAATAATAAATCTTTTTTTTTTTTTTTTGGTAGTAGGCTGCCTTTTGCTATGCTATTTTTTGTCATTCTTCTAAGAAGCGTATCCGCTAAACACTGGCAAGGAATTTTGTGCCAATTGTTCATGCAGTGGCTGACGACGATGAGGCATTATGGCTAAAATTCGTATGCGCCACAGTTAATGGAAGAACAAGAACGAGCTTTCGTAATAGGTTCGAACATTGGATGCCCCCCCCCCCCCCCCCCGTTACGATATTTGCATTGTGCGACGACTGGTTGTTCTTTCGCTATTTTGAAGCGATTTATATGTCGTATTAACGCGATCGCTTTCCCAACATCAAGCCTGCCTAAGGCAAGTTTGCCAACAAATCACAAGCACCGACATACAGAAACAATACCTGTGAAAACCTGGTTAAACACCAAAGGCATATTTGTATCCTCATTTAACTGCCGCCTCTGTGAAGTTCCAGAAACAATCTAACATTGCTTTATTATTTGTAAGGACGCAATATTTTTCTGGGATGTCCTGCAGAGGGCTTTTAAAAAAAGTGTCTGAAGTTAAATTCTCATAGCATCCGTTATCTTGTACCACCCGAATGCAACGACATGCCACTTGACATGCTGTTGTTCATGGGCACGCATAGTTTGTGGAAAACTCTCATGTTGGACAGGCATGTGGAATCAATTGTGTCTTTGCGAAGCCACTTTGTGCAAATGATTGTGCGGCTAAGGGACTTTTATGACCAACTGCAATTTCAGCCGGACTAGTATGCTGAGTTCATGAAGTGTGCTACTCAAATACCCCTTTAGACACTGTGTTATATGAGATTTACTTTGTAACGTCCATTGTACAATAGCCCCACCACGGTGGTCTAGCGGCTAAGGTACTCGGATGCTGACCCGCAGGTCGCAGGATTGAATCCCGGCTGCGGTGGCTGCATTTCCGATGGAGGCAGAAATGTTGTAGGCCCATGTGCTCAGATTTCGGTGCACGTTAAAGAACCCCGGCAAGATAGAGCTGTTATATACCTCCCTCTTGAGGGATAGTGGCAATCTACCTGTCATAATTTGAGAGTGCTTGCCGAATGTGCTCCACCTCATTCTTATTCTTCTATTTACTTTAATCTCGTGGTTCGGCTCTGCGGTTATTACCTGGCCTAAGTAGACATAGTCTTTTACAACTTGAAGTGCACTATTACCTATCTCGAAGCGCTGCTCTTTTCCGAGGTTGTTGTACATTACTTTCGATTTCTGCAGATTAATTTTAAGACCCACCTTTCTGCTCTCCTTGTCTAACTCCGTAATCATGAGTTGCAATTCGTCCCCTGAGTTACTCAGCAATGCAATGTCATCGGCGAAGCGCAGGTTACTAAGGTACTCTCCATTAACTCTTATCCTATCTTATCTTATCTTAAGGATATCATAGTTGAAATAAAGAAGAGGAAATGGACATGGGCCGGGCATTTAGCGCGTAAACAGGATAAGCGCTGGTCATTAAGGGTAACTAACTGCATTCGCAGAGAAGGGAAGCTTGTTAGGGGGAGACAGAAGGTTAGGTGGGCAGATGAGATTAAGAAGTTTGCGGGTATAAATTGGCAGCAGCAAGCACAGGACCGAGTTAACTGGCGGAACATGGGAGAGGCCTTTGTCCTGCAGTGGACGTAGTCAGGCTGATGGTGATGATGATGATGATGAAAGAACCCCTGGTGGCCAAAATTTCCGGAGCCCTTCACTATGGCTGCTCTCATAATCATATCGTGGTTTTGGGACTTTAAACCCCACAACTCAATCAATCAATTCATTGTACAATTGTCTACTTGACCCTATGTATGTTGTACATAATTTATATACGTAAGCCGCATTTGTAATAAATACCATGTAAAAAAAAATAATGGCGTATACTATAGCTCAGTGGCAGAATACTGGGCTGGCACCCACCGGAACCGAGTTCGAGCCCCACTGTTTCAATGATGCTAGGTTTATTTTCTAATTTCGTGCGATGAGGGTGGACAACTTCGCGTGACCCGAGTTGTGATCTCGTAACAGCTTTCGCTGTAAAAGAGTCGTTGAGAGAAGATCACCTGATTATGGCTTATATTTTACCCTAGAATAAAGCGTCGCCCTTTTTTAGTGGAACTGAGTGTACGCCGCAGATATGTTGCTCCCTGTTCCATATTTACGCGACCTGCATATATTTATATTCCTACCGGTTCCATATTGAGCTGAGCAAATTGTGAATGTCAAAAGATCTTTCTTTCTTTCTTTCTTTCTTTCTTTCTTTCTTTCTTTCTTTCTTTCTTTCTTTCTTTCTTTCTTTCTTTCTTTCTTTCTTTCTTTCTTTCTTTCTTTTTTCTTTCTTTCCTTCCTTCCTTCCTTCCTTTCTTCCTTCCTTCTTTCTTTCTTGTTTTTTCTTTCTTTCTTTCTTTCTTTCTTTCTTTCTTTCTTTCTTTCTTTCTTTCTTATGATGCATTTTGACGTCTAATGGGAAAAACTGAAATGTCGGTCAATGGACGGCGTCAACGCGGTAGGAAAGGCGTGGCTAGAAAACTTTTTCGCGGGGAGGGGGGGGGAGGAGTGGAAGGGAGCTATTTATATACTCTTCATGTAGGTTCGTACGGCTTCATGTACGTTCAAGCAGCGCTTCGGTGTGTTGCATGTATAATGTACAGATGCAGAACTTAAATTTCCCGGGGGAGAAGGTGAAACCTCCTCTCCCCACCCAATTCCACTGTTTTCGCCTATGACTGACATTGTTTCAGAGACATTACACTGGAAAGATACTTTTAACATACGCGTCCACAAACCACTGCTTGGCACTATCTTGTTTTCTCTTCAGAGCTGCGTGTGAGCCCCGTGGTGAGCCCGTGCGCCCTGTGACGCCATTTATTCCCGCTTTCCGCGAACGCTCGGTGTACAATGCGATCCTATCGATTAGCACGACAGTCGAACTTGGAAGCTTCGAAACAAAAAAAGCGAAAAAAAAGCAGGTAGGAGGTGCTACTGCATCGGACGCAATACATTTTCATGATTTCATGGTTGTTCTGTTTTATAGATTGTGCAGAGCTTTTTGCAGATAGCATGAGCGCTCTCACAATAGCCTTCCCACTTTTGTAGACGCCAAGGTATGTGACGTATGTCACAATTTCCGCGGTGAAAGCGTCGATTTTCGCGGCACACGCAAAAAAAAAAAAAAAAAAACGCGACGCCATCTTCTGGTCGAAGCCTTGCGCCACTCGCCTTGCGTGGAAGCTTAGTCATTCAAAGGCGTAAAATACGTTGCCAGCAGTGGTACTCTGTGCGAGAATTTCTGCGCAGTACTTTCCCTGCTTGAGAGTCAGGCGAGATACAGAAGCAGTGATAGGGCATATGGGTGTTAAGAGAAGGCAAGCATTGGAAGGCTGCAGCGCAAAGTTCACGGCCGACGATGCCACATGGACGCTTACGTCGTCGATAGTGGTTTTCACTATGCAGACAGGTAAGGCACCGGAAGATTGTTTTTTATTTTATTATTTTTTTCCTGTATCGCGAAGCCTCAGCGCTTACAGTTGACACAGAATTATTCGCAGGAACGGCATGGCAGAATATATGGAAGCTACGCGAAATTACAGATAACGCACGAAAAACGTTTAGCTAAAAACTATATCCATGCTGGCTAAGGTTACGGATGTTGCCGACACAGTCTGCATTGTCGTCACCAGCGATATCTGTAACTCTAAATGTTCATAAAGCAATAATATCTGGGGTACTGCGTGCCAAAACACGATTTGATTACAAGGCAGAGGGTTCCAGATATTTCGACCATGTAGTGTTCCTCAACGTTCACTGACGCCGCATATATCATGCGCTGACACCGCTAACGGGGCCACCATTTTTCATGCGAGCAGGCTTTGGCCTGCTCGAGTCAGGCTGCGTCTCCCGCAAGAACGAGGTCAACATCCTCATGAAGAACGTGGCCGACGTGGTCGTGGGCGGCCTGGGTTACTGGTGCTTCGGCTACGGGCTGCAGTTCAGCTCGGGCGGCGGCAGCGCGCTCTTCAATGGCTTCGGCTTCTTCCTGGTGGACGCCGAGATGCAGGACATGGGCCGCACGTTCGCCTGCTTCCTGTTCCAGCTGTCGTTCGCCACCACGGCCACAACCATCGTGTCCGGGGCGATGGCCGAGAGGACGAACTTCACGGCCTACTGCATCTTCTCGTTCTTCGACACGCTCGTCTTCTGCATACCGGCCGGCTGGCTGTGGGCCAGCGGAGGGTTCCTGAGGCAGCTGGGAGCGCTAGACTTCGCGGGCGCCGGGTGCGTGCACCTGCTGGGCGGCACGTCCGCCCTGGTGGCCGCCGCCTACCTGGGACCCAGGGTGGGACGCTACGGAAGCGGTCCGCCACCCGAACTTGGAACCCAACCAGCGTGCTGCAGGGGGTTTTCACACTATGGCAAGCTTCGTTACAACGCTCTTTTTGAAGTACTGTGAACACGGCGCTAAATTGCTTTGCCGTCTATCACAATTTTCTTCATTTGTCCAAAGTTCCAACAGAAAGCGAGATTTGGTCATATTGAGAAAACCAGGAATCAATTATGCCAGCGCACATCGAAACAAAGACAACACTCACAGGGAGGCCTTAAGAAGCTAATAAATAACGAAACGTTCCGACGTACCTTCTAGGTTTAGGACCTCTTTCCGCATAACCTCTCCTCTGTATGCGCATCACAAACGAAACAATAAACTATAGAACTAAACACAAGTGCTGTGCTTCAACTGTCTTGTTCGCCTCTTGTATGAATATCGTCTTTGTTCCGATGAGTGCTGCCGTATCTTATCACAGCTGATTATTAGCCCACCAGTAATACTTTCTGTTCGTTCCATAAAAAGAAAATATGCAGTTCCAAAGTCTTATAAATTTTTGTTGGCCTTTCATTGCTCAAAAATGATCCACTGAATCATATCCTGAGCTTACAACTGAACCTCTCCGGTGAAAAAAAAAACCGAAAAGTGAGATAGTTCAGTACTGAATAATTGATTCATTCTTAAAAAAAAAAAAACCGGAAGAGCCGAATGGCGTCAACAAGAGTGTGTCTTTGTCCTTATACATAACAAAGACTGAAAGGGGCCCTGCAACGCTTTTTGAGCATGGTCAGAAAACGCTGCCGATTGGTGGTAGAGGCTCCCGACAACACGCGAGCCAAATATTAGAGCACAGCAAGCGGCCTGTAATTCACAATAAATTATCAGTCAGCAAAAATTTATTTTTTCTTGTCTCGACAAATCACGCAATATGCCCGAAAATCACACGTAGTAAACTCATCTATCAGCCATTGGCTGATATGAACATGGTGCGCTCATTCGTTACAGATATCGCCGCAGGAGGCCGCTACTTGTCCACGCGTGCGCGCGCAGTCACACTGAAAAACTCGCGCAATAGAAGAAAAAAAAAAGGAAAAAAGGGCTCAAGGTTGCGAACCATGCGTGACGTTTTTCTGTGGCCATGCCATCCCTCCTTGCTTAGATTCTAGCGCTTTCGTCGGGACGAGAAGAGAGTGCAATTGAAGTATGTGACAAACCTTTGTAACTCCACAAGCACTGAACGGATTCTCGCTCGCTAGATTCCGTGCCGACCGGTTGTGCCCTCGCGATCTCCGACGTCAGCGTAGCTCTGGCCGACTGGGCTGGCCCCTATGTCATCTCCTGATGCCGATCTCCGACGACAGCGTAGCTCTGTACTTCTGGACTTGCCCTACGCCATCTCCTGACGCCGACGAGAGCTCTCGCAAGTGGTGCCCCGTCCTCGGACTCCTGTGACCGTGTTTCCATCTTGCCTATCTCTCCTATTCCTCATATGTCCTCGCTCGTTGTCTCAGCGCATCTCTCTCTATATATGTGACGCTATGGTGAATGGGCGACGTGGCCTAGCACGCTCACAATGGTCGGGATAGAGCTGCGGAGCTCGGACGATGCTACGCCAAGCCCTGGACTTACCACCCAGATTCATGCACCAGAACAGCTCGCATCGTTAGTTGCACAGAAAGAGGGCCATTCACAACTCAAACCTTACCGAACTACCCCTGTTGCGGTGTTGCCGTCCAGTGCGCAGCCACCAGAAACTCCAAACACAGAAGGCTCAGACGCATCGAACGTCGCATGCTACCAGGCGCAAGAACCACTCATAGTGAGCCGCGAAGAAGAAGTGAACTCTGAACGTTTTTCGTCACAAGAGTTCATTTCCACGGCACCGCAGACTTGCAAATATTTGCATTTTCAACCTGGTGATGCGACGTCACATGTGGTACCCTCATGCAGTGGTCACCAATCCAAGAATCAAACCAATTCAGAAGCAAATCATACATCAAACCTCGTACACAGTTGTCTTTCAGAAGCGTCCGTCATCAACCACGTCACAGAAGCCTCTGAAGAGCAGGCTAGCAATGATTGCGCACCACCAACCATGCCCGATAAGCAAGAAACCTGTTAACCATGCATCAGCTGTCTACAGGACGCGTCAACCTCAAAGTAAATAAATGTCTCATTCCGGAAGGCTTGCCACTACAGCCATCTCCATAGCAGCATCAGCAAAACAAGCATAGCCAAGCGCGCAACCTCATGCGACAACAAAATAGACTGCAACGAAGGCATCGACGAACGCGAAATTCAACGGAAGCACACTCACCAATTGAAGAACAGCGGAAAATAAGATCTCTAACCCAAAAAGTATTCCAAGACGTCAAATTTTCTCACACAGAGGAAAGTCGCCAGAGACGCTCCCTGCGCCTGAAGTTACACAGACCGCAACACCACGGAAAACGCCAAGAAAGATTCGGAAGCACTTTTTGCATACCGCCAGCCCGCAGGCATCACGCCGTCACAATCCGTCAAGAAGCACGCATTTTAGAAGCAAAGCGTGTGTCGCAGCCACGACTCAGAATACAACGCATGAGACATCCGACCTTCCAACGCTACAAGGACTCCCAACCTTGTTCGTTCCTCAATACTAACCAGGTTGTGCCATCATCATTTTTAACGCTGAAGGCATGGTTATGCTCTCCAGAACGCAACAGCCAACCTCGCCCACCTGAGGTCTCCTAGATATCACCGGACTGCCTTTCCTGTGAACATTTGGTGCAAGTGCATGGAACCGCCGTGTGGCATGGAACTACTGCATTTTCTGGCATTATTTTTTTATTATAAGACTACATTAGTTCATGCTTTCTAGATTGCAGCTCGCGCATTCTTTCGGGGGGAGAAGGAATCATGTGACGTAAGAAGGTAGCGAAGGTTGGTAGAAGCAGAGGAAAAAGAAGTGAGAACAGAATAAACATGGCGTATGAGCCAGGCCACGTCTCCCAGTCATCATATAGCGTCACATATATATACCTTTGATCCCATCCTTTTAATCCCTCCTCACCCCCATCCCTTGTGAGCTATTGTTGAGGTGTCGCACCCTGATGCAGACAGTTACGGGGCTCACTTTTCTCTTCTATTCCCTCTTATAAACACTTTTTTTTTAATTTCTGCGGCGTTGAATCCGAGAGTCACTAAGCTCTTCCAGTGAATTCATTCCATGGTTCCTTGAAAAAGTGTTTCAGGGCCCCTTTAAGCACTCGTGTCGTGCACTTCGTCTTTTTGCGCTCCCACTATTTAAGAATTCAGCGAACTTGCACCTTCACTCGCGCTTATTGTGTATATCTCCCTTTATCATTTATCCAACCCTTTGTTAATTTTTTTAGTGCAAGTAGGCCCGTATGAATGACAATGTTCATGCTTCCCTCCATCACATTGTCTCTTTTTAGATAGCGATTGCGATGTATCCCAACGTCGTACACATCCACATATACTCTATGAACTTTCGCATTTACAGAGCACTAAACACGGGTCTTTATTTATTTTACTTAGGTGGGGATGGTTGGTTTTCAACGCTGGCAGCACAGTCGGCGTCACAAACAACAAGTGGAAGTACGCATCAAGGTATGCGAGCATGTTTGTTAATTTGAGCTCTACTTGCTTCCTCGGCTCTGTATGGACCTCTTTCGTCGTTTTTTTCTTTTTGTCGTCGTTCTCTCCTTCAATGTAGGGTAGTAAACTCCTAATGTCTGCTTTTTTTCTTTGTATTGTGTGGTTATTTTATCGAATTGGAATTGTGGAGCTGCTAGTCAAGTAATGCTGAATAGCAAAAAAAACGCAGATAGATAGATAGATAGATAGATAGATAGATAGATAGATAGATAGATAGATAGATAGGCAAGTAGATAGATAGGCAGGTAGGTAGGTAGGTAGGTAGGTAGGTAGGTAGGTAGGTAGGTAGGTAGGTAGGGTAGGTAGGTAGGTAGGTAGGTAGGTAGGTAGGTAGGTAGGTAGGTAGGTAGGTAGGTAGGTAGGTAGGTAGGTAGGTAGGTAGGTAGGTAGGTAGGTAGGTAGGTAGGTAGGTAGGTAGGTAGGTAGGTAGGTAGGTAGGTAGGTAGGTAGGTAGGTAGGTAGGTAGGTAGGTAGGTAGGTAGGTAGGTAGGTAGGTAGGTAGGTAGGTAGGTAGGTAGGTAGGTAGGTAGGTAGGTAGGTAGGTAGGTAGGTAGGTAGGTAGGTGGTAGGTAGGTAGGTAGGTAGGTAGGTAGGTAGGTAGGTAGGTAGGTAGGTAGGTAGGTAGGTAGGTAGGTAGGTAGGTAGCAAAACTTGATTTAATTACTGGAGACCGTAGTGAGGTGAGTGTTTTGAAAAAAAAGTTCTTTTAGCTTTGATGAGTTGGTAGAAATGAATGACAGCAGCTAATGCCCCTTCAACGCTTTCGGCTGGATATGGGTTGCACTGTGTTCCCGAAGAGCTCATGAAGATGTCCGCGTCTTCACATCGGCAATAAGCTATATTCGTACACAGCCTCTGTCGCACTGATATGTTTCAATTCAAGCGAATGCAATGGACATTCATTTTGCTTCAACACAGTCGTCCCCCAATCAAGTTCTGTACCTGTACGTCGAAGGCCGAGAGCCTCATGCACGCTACCATGACATTCATATTCATTCATTCATTCATTCATTCATTCATTCATTCATTCATTCATTCATTCATTCATTCATTCATTCATTCATTCATGTGCATATTCATTTAAGGTACCATTTGCTTTGGCATGCACGAAGCGTCAGTGAAGCTTATGACTGCAGCATTATATGAAGTTTTGTTCCGTTCGAAAACGCTGCTGATGCTTCGTAACAAACCACCTACTTAGAAAAAAGAAAGAAAGAAAAATTTGTTTGTTTAGAGGATCTTCATGTAAACGTATAGGCTGTTGTGGACACGCTGTAAACTAATAGTGAGGGGAAATGTATGTTTCACGAGGCGGAAAGCAGCTATTGAGCCGGAATTTCAGCGGCACTCTGTTAGTGATTTTTATTTGTTTTTTTAATCGAAGGGCGGCAGTGAGCACCATCAATGGTTCTATAGGAGGAGCTCTTGTTGGACTACTGCTATCGTAAGTTGATAATTTCACGTACGCACTTTCTCATGAAAACAAACAAAAAAGTGTTTCCAGCTTACTTCATTTGTTGTTTTCTTATTCACCTCTGATGCGTCATAATAGTTCGATTACCATTACATTGACTGTAGAAATTATCCAAACTGACATATTTGGTATAACTGCATGGGATAGCAATCTTACAAAACTTTGTCTTTAGGTGACCTACCATGCAATTCTGCGCGTATAGTTAAAAAAAGAAAGGTACATACCCTACTATAATACTACATTACGGTGCTTATCTGACAATAATTTGCTGTAACTATCCTTGTTGCAGGTACGCCATACATAGGAAGTTTCTCATCATGAACATAGTCTCCGGTCTTCTGACTGGGCTCGTTTCAGTCACAGGTAACGGGACTCTCGTATCATTCAATACTGCCTCTTCTCGCACACCAACTCGTCAATCAGCATAATTTAACGTCTAGAAAAATTATAAGTAGCATTATGCGCAGGTTCTTTAGAGTAACTAAACGACCTTCCATAAACCCATTTTGAAATGCCGCAGCCGTGGCCGGGAATCAAATCAGCGTCCTAGATATCAGCAGCTGTTGACGAAGAGCAGATGTTAGCAACGAAAGAACGTTTCTTCTTGCATAGCAGTTTTGGAAGGCGTACGATACAGCTACACTTTAAGTGAATAACAAGGGATGTACTGAATTTCCCTTAATGAACACTTCAAAAATGATTCCTTGGTGGCGAGAAACTGACAGGGTCTCTTAAGCACTCGTTTGAGATTACTAGAAGATGAAAGCTCCTTTTTTTCTTCTCACTCGATGTGCTCCCTCCCGCCCACCTCCGAGAGTTTTCTGCACATAACTTGGTTTTCAACATCCTCCAAGATTGGAGGCATTGCAAGATTTCTGCATAGCCCGGTTTTGTGTCACCTCTGTGATTGGCTCACGTCTTACCAAGCGACGATGTCATGTGATGACGGCACTATGCAGCGTCACGTTTTGTGACGTCATGGTGAAGTGACAAATTTTGCCAAATTGTGATGTGGTGACGTCGTCAGCTAATCACTTGTGTTGACACCAACGGCCAATTTTCGCTTTGATGAGTCATCGAAGGTTTCCACTTTAAAGGACCCCTGACAGCGAAAATTTTGTTGGCGACTTTTTTACAGGTATTTGTAGCTTTGTTTTTGTTTGTGGTAATTCCAAAATTGAATCGCAAATGGTCTAATCCATTTTGTAATATATGCTGGCGTCGTTAAATCAGAACGACTTGCGTCAGTTCA